AATCATTTCCGACATTGCAACACGTGATTGACTATGTTTGTTCGGCTACGAGCTGAATGGAAGTAAAGAAAGGTGTGTTTGCTTGCAGAAAGGGCGATATGTGAATATCAATGACAATGCGTGGCGACAGGGCGTTTTTTATGAAATACATATATATTTTCTATTGGCTAAAGAAAAAATAGACTTGCGATGAAAGGAAAGCTAATTCGACAGCAAAAGTTGCTTTGAACATAAATGCCTTACTTGTATGTATGTAAAATTTTTTATTTAATTTTTGTCTGTATGTGTATACATGAGCTGGTCGCTCAGATTTTGAGATATCGATCTAAAATTTTGTATACGTCTTTTTCTTTCCAAGAAAATGCTTCTTTCGGTTAGAATTCCCGATATCCTTTGCTCAACTTATGGTCAACATAATAAGCCTACTGAGCGTACTATTCTCAACACTATCACCCCACTTGATACCCAGCACTCATTATTGGATAATATTCCATCGAATAGACTACGTCCAGCAGTCAGCGAAGAAAATAAAAGCAGCCGTAGCTGAGAGTGCACATGAAGACCGTGGAGAGTCGGTTCGGCGTCGTTAGCAGCAACTCGAGATCTTAAATTGGAAGCATACAAAATATAGTTTTTAAAAGAACTGAAGCTGCTCGAGCTTTCCAAGCATCATCACTTGGCTGTATGGGCTCTTGAAAAGTTCCAAGAAGATTCGACGTTTTCGAGCCAAATACTTTTCAGCGGTGAGGCTCATTTTTGGCAAAACAAGCAAAAGTGCCATATTTGAGACCAAGAGCATCTTGAAGATATTCAAGAGCATGGCAGAGCCTAAAAATAAATGCCAAAGAATGTTGTTTCGAATATTAAAAAACATTAACCATTAAATTTGAAGTCTTTGTGTATTTTTCTTTAAAAATGTAGGGAACCTAGAAATGGGTCACCCTTTATGTACGTTTAGTTGTGATAATGAATGCCACTGTTAAAGGTAATATATGTAGCTTCGAAAGCTGTCTATGAAAGATATTTCAGGGAATTAGGCTTTTGTTCTATCTCCATAATATCGCTTCGATTTCTTTCATCTTACTTACATATTTACATATCCATATGAGAAATTACAAAAGAAGAATGCATGCGAAAGCGGCTTCCCACTCGAGCCATAAAACATTGTCTGTTGTCGTGTTAATTTGCTGCATTTTTCAAAGGCACAGCCACCAGGCAATGTGCTCGCAGTTCTTGAGCCGTACAAGATACAACTCGGTGGAAACGTAACCGCAGACGCAGCCGGTAGCTGCATAATAACAACTTGTCCACAGTTGCACGCTTCTACTGCTGCATTTTTGTAATTTTTATTTTCGGGTTACGGGATTATTGTTACGCTGTTGTTGTTATTTGTAGAGTTTGTGCTTCCACTGTCGTTATTCAAAGGAGTTTTTTTTGAAACGAATCTGCGTATTTCTCGTTGTCTTAGCTCCTTTGCACACAAGCGTTTTTTTGCTGGATAATTTATTTATTTTCAGTATTTTTCCTGAGTTTGTCGCTCAGTCACGCTTGACAACACAGTTTGTCAAAAGTAATCGCTCTTGACAGTGAATGCCGCGGCGGCGGCACACTTTTGGTGCACTTACCATGCTCTTGCAACAACCGCCGTCTGGCTAGGATCTGCTCAACACGCGCTTAGCGGTGGTTAAAAACACAAACATTTGAAATTTCAGCAATTTGTCAGTCACTCAACCAACTATTCAGTCGCCAACAGTGGTTCGCCCGTCTGTTGCGGCAAACTGTTTTCTTGGCGAAAATGTCATTTTGTCTTAAAAATTGGCGCATGCGGCGGCGTTCTTTGACATTTTGGGTGGCCTGACATATTTACTTGTGTCGCCGATTGCCCGCATTTGTGGGTTGTTGTATATGAATGGAGTTAGATATTGCCAAGGAAGGAGTATGTGAATAGCAACATACTTCAAGTTTCAGCTGCAAGTTGTTCGGGAATCGTGAGAAGTGACAGGTGCAAATCATGTCACAACTATAAAATATGGCGCTTCAAGGCTTTACTTCAAAAGTGAATTTAGTTCATATATTTTAAGTGATGTGCGAACCTCAAATTTTTCTTTTGGCTTCTCAACGAATATGTTGTATGCGTGGGAAAAATTCGGTCTCTCCTTATCTGTTAACCCCACTCAGTTAGTCCTTTCCTTGCTAGCATTCATTTTATTTTCTCAATCATTTACTTCATCCAGGAGAATTAACACTTTAAAGTCAATTATGCAATTATCTGCTCTGTTGAGTGCTTCCTTCACTTAAGGACCCTTAAGCCGTGCAATCAGCATAGAATTTGCGAGCGCATATCTAATTCACGTGAATGCTTGTTATTCTGCCATTCCGTCAACTACATTAAACACATATTAAGTAAGAAGACGACTTCATGTGGCACTAAGAGGCACTTGACAACTGGCGTTGAGTGGCGAACACAAGTTTAACAAAATGATCAAGGAGATTAAAGGAGTAATAAACAGAAATATGTAAATGAAAGGAACAAGTTTTAACTACAGTTCAGTCAACATGGCATCCATAGAGTGAATGAGGAATTTTTCGCAACATACAAGTATTATGCATATAAGTAGAGAATTTACACCGAAGCTACAGCACCCTTCACGGATGCATGTTTTAAAATATTAAAGGCTCTACAAATATATTTATCATGATTTTAATTGATCAGATCCATATAGCTACCAAGCTGTATGCTATAATGATCCGATTCGAATCTTATATCATTGTCTGGGATAAGAATCTATGCCTAATTTTGTAAAGGTGCTTAATCAATTAAAAAATGCTCAAAGCAGGGGGTTGAATTTGATCGATCAGTTTGTATGGCAACTACATCCTATAGTAGCCCGATATCGGCGATTTCGGAAAATAAGCAGCGTTTTGGAGTGCAAAATTTCAGATCGACAACTGAGGGACTATTTTGTATATATTGGATAGTCGAAAAAGTCTTTCGTATTCTAATTAATTTGCCATTTTTCTACTACAGACATTAATCCATCAGAGTAAAACTTTTCTAGTTGCTCGGCGGAAAACTGCGTCAAGTAATTTTCACAGGCTTCTCTTGAAGCCAACTTTACTTCATTAAAAAGAGTTCTGCATTGGCCGAAACAAATGATAGACCGATGGTGTAAGGATGCATCAAAAGTTTTGATTCAAAACTTCCCAGCCAAGCTCTCCCAGTTTTGCCGAGTCATCAAAGATGTGTGTGGTCTAGCGTTGCCTTGATGGAAGATGTTGATCAGTTTTGATAGTTTTTTCTCGGTTGTTTGCTCCAGTCCGACTAGTCATCAGTCGTTGACAGTAAAATGTAGAATCAATCGTTCGACCAGGCCTTCGTTGAACTAGTTTATGGTTGATGATTCCTCTCCAATTCCACAAAAGACTTAGCATAACCTTTCAACTTGTCAATTCTGGCTTTGCAACCATTTGTTGAGCTTCATAATGCTTGGACCATGATCTTTTTCGCACATTATTGTTATATTTGACCTACTTTTCGTCTCCAATAAAGAATAGCAGATGTTATTTCGGTACCATAAATTTTTCACATTTCGTGTGGTATCCACGACCAAAGAATTTGCCATCGCCTTGTTGAATTGCGAGCGTTTAATTGAGAACTCGAAAGAATGTCACAACCATCAAATTGTGCTCGCTGACAGCTACATTTAACGGCTCTTTAGCGCCTTGTGAACGGTGGATTGCAATTACAAGACGAATGCTTCATTTTCGCTAACACCTTCGGCAAAGTGTCGCATGCATAAAGTCATGAATTTAATTTATAACCGCTATGTTAGCCGGCAACTAATCATGTGGTTTCGCCCCGCCTTGCACGTTTTCAGCACTTCGACTACTTTGTCCAACGGCGTAACCAAAATGAGTTTTAACAGCACTATAAATCGCAGCCAAATGCAGTGTAACGACCCCGTCGACTCGTCATAAACGCATGGATTTGGTCAGACGCGCCAAAAATATACACCACAAAGCTAAAATGGTTGTAGCAGCTAATAGCGAGCCAATCTGATATCCGATCCACTGCGATCAGCTGTGATCCATACGTTCCTCCTCTCAATGCGACATTTTGTGGCATGTGTGATTTTCTAGCTCATTATTGCAAATCAATGTCGTGTCGGCTAACGAGCACTATCTACCACAAATGTGAGCCGATTGCGATGTAATGCTCAAACATATTCTCGCATAACTTTTTATGTCTTCGTTTGCGCATGTGCGCGGATATAAATGTGAATTTGTCTCTGGCTCTGGCACTTAATGCATTGAGAGGTTATGTGGCAACGATTGTTCTGTCTGCCGGCTAAGAAAAAGCGAAGAAGATGGTGTCAGACATGGCTCCCTTCATTTCTTACTAAAGACGTTGTTGTTTGCAAGCATTTTTATTTTCAATGCCTATGATCGCCAACATGTAGATGATTGTAGATTCTTACCATAGTACTAAGCATTTCAGGATTTATTGTCTAAATGAGGAGTATGCAAAAGCACCGGACAGTAAACGGGCTCATTTCAGCCATCATTAGGCTTATTGGGTTTTCATATGTGATAGTACAGGATTAGATCGACTACATGAAGCAGGATGTTGGAGTCCCCACATATGAGATGGTTGAGACTAGTTAAGCTTTTGAGTTTTGTACATTACCGACGGTCTCTTCACCTAAAATATATGTTTATAGACAGTAGCCTTTGGTTTCTCTTTAGCAAAAGTTCGTACTTCAGAGTATAGTTTTGGTTAGAAGATTTCTTCTTGGAAGCTAAGTAAAATTTTATGAGTCTAGGGGTTCAGTAGGAGGGAACCTTTGATTTTTTCTGTTAGTTTTCGTATTTGCATTTATAGCTAAGCCATCAATATCAACTTTTTGAAATAAATTTTTTCAAAAATTTAAAAAAAAAATTTCTTATTTTTGATATAAATCAGAAAATAATCTGCACATTATATAATGTATTTATTTTGTTTTAAATATTTATAAAATGTTTAAATTTATTGATAGTTACAATTTTTGCATATTTAATTTTTTGGGTTCAGTGATTTTGTTACTCCCGTAATCCAGCCTTTATAAGCGGATACTTTGGTATAAACACCGGGGTAGCCAGCTCGCGCGCAGCCATAACCAAAAGACACAACTCCATACTGTGTGCCTTGGCTTGTCAAAGCGCCTCCAGAATCGCCCTGACAGCTGTCCTGTTTTGGAGCAGTGGCACATAACTGTTTATTCGTAATCTGACTTATTCCTCGGTATGAACTTGTGCAAGACCTCTTTTTCACCCGATTCACATTGACGCCACGCAAATATTTCGTTGGACGAGCAGCACCCTCGCTTATTGTTCCCCAACCACTTATGAAATACGAATTCGGCTCCTTATTGCCAGTCGCCAGTCGGACGGCTTTTACATTTGCATTGAATTTGAACGGTTTACTTGTACGTAACAAGGCTATATCATTAGCAGAAGTTTTAGGATTGTAACCACCATGATAGAGTACACGATCGACAATGCGCAATTGACCGCCGGTTTTGAATTGGTTAGAGCCGGCGCGTACGGCATGCCTTTTACTAACATTACCATAGACGCAATGAGCGGCGGTCAGCACCCAAGATTCGCTGATAATTGAGCCACCACAAATCAAAGTGCTTGACTGTATAACAGATGCCTGCCAGGGTGCTTCCCCGATAGAGATCTGGCGACCACCAACAATTCGATGATTTGAGGGCAATACAAAGTTAGGTCTTGAGCTATTATTATTGCCGGATTGGCTGATTATTGTAGAGTTGGTGAGATTAATAACTGTTACCACTGGTTGGGATGCGCCACTTCCCACTTCGATAAATTCCAAACCTGCATCACCTTCTTCGCTATCTTCATCCGTTTCGCAGCGATTGAAGGCACAGCAAGCGAGTAGTACGAGAAGCGCTAACGTCCGTTTCATCTTCGTTTTAAAATAGAACTGCTTCTTAATATTCGCAACGACACTCTATTGACCTTTTTCTAAGAAACCTACGCGAGTTTGCCATAGTAAGCATTCGGTTTATTATTGGATTTTGTTTCTCTATAATACTTAAAGACAAGCGTAAGCGTATTTAAGCGAATCTACATATCGAAGAATAAAGAGAGAGGAGAAAGCGTTTAATTAGGTTAATGACCGGCTTATAAAAATAAAATAGTTCAAAATCCAATTCTCAAGTGTTTTAGCAAAAGCATAATTATATTGAAATATGCGTTAGAAATATTAAAAAAAAAAAAATCAAGATGACACCGGTTTGAAAATGTAAAATGATGTTCGATCTATCTCCGTCTATTCCACAAGGAGAATTACATACATGAAGTAGCAGTAAATTTTAGAAGATTGAGATATGGAGAAAGAAGCAGAGCTTACTGAAAAAAACTCAAGGCTACGCTTAGATATTGTGACGTATCGATTTAGTTCACTTAAGTATTAACCGAAATTGAGATGGAAATTGCAGAAAGACTTTTAACTTGTAGGGCCCAACTTATAAAAATTATACAATATTCTGATCTCAGTCGAGGCTTATCTTAACTCGGTACTCGTTTCTAGAACGCACTATCTAAGTTATTGCTAAGAAAACACCTAACCTCGATATTTATTTGATATACATATGTATCTCAGAACATAGGAATCCAGAGATAGGGTTATCGATAGTTTTCTATTTCGATGTTAGGAACATTTTTATCGATAATTTGTATGTATTGCATTATTATCGAAGAATTAAAAAAATTCAATACATTTTAATTCTTCGATAATAGTTTGCAAACTTTTAAAACCAATTCCAATAACAGCAAAATCATTAAAGCAAATACACACATACATACATACATACATACATATATCTATAACTATATAACATTAAACAAGTCTTTTATTGTAATGCTTTTACAGAACAATTAATTAGGAAACGAAATTAAGCGAAATCGCTGGAGGCGAACACACCACTGGTTCGAATGGAAAGCTCCAGCTGCGCTCCGTTGGGACTACAGACAGCAAGCAGCAACTTGGAAGCGATGTATAAAGCGAAAAAACGGGTGTCCTGCTGTGTTTACAGTGAACGGCACGAACAACCACTGGAGTCGCACTTTTGCCAGCTGTAAAAGTCAGACAGCAATCGAAAACGGGCGAACGACATCAGCATTCAACAGCAACAGTGGCAGTTGGTCGAATGAGCTTGTAATTAAGTTCGGTTTCCAGTTGGCGATTCCACTTGTAAGACATTGTAAAAAACGAAAGGAAAAGAATAATATGTTGTTGCCCAAACACACAAAAACCCCCTCCCCAAAACAGCCAGCGAAATGGCATTTCAGTTGGAAGAGGAATCGGCATTTCATTTGCTTGTCGACAGCGTACACAGTAGCCTAAGTTTGCAGCAAACATGCCAGTCACAGTTGCAACAACAGTTCTATTAGTTTGTCCCCGCGTATTGGCAAACGTGCAGAATGCTATTTAATTTAGCTGCTTGCCAACCGCAGCACGATTCACGATTGTGGATCACACGGGAAACATGTTAATCCATCTGAGTGCCCTCGATGTCCGATGCGCGTTATGCTAGGTATGTGCCTGCGACTTGACAGTTCATGACACCGTCCGTGCAAGGCAACATGACATTTGACAGTTGAAATGTCCGCTGGCCATTGGCCGATCACTGTTTTACGAAGAGAGCACAGCATTGTCAAGGCTCGGCTTTTCAATTGGCAATTAGAAATTGGCAACAGGTAACTAACTACTTTTACGCTATCACATATGACTGTGTGTTGGTGTGATTATTTGCACTTCTTTATAAAGTGCTTCTGGCATTTACAAGTTGCCACCGTTCGTTTCAGGCGCGACATTAGTGCTGATGTGACACAGCGAGTGGCAGAGTGGCAGTTGCAACATGCACTTTACATGCATTGCGCGAATTGACAAGATGGCAAGATACGCGATACGCGATAGGAATCAGCTGTTGCGGGAACGGGAGCTGCTACAACCCGAGCGCCACAAATGTCAAATGCCATGTGATGACAGACCCGATACGAAAGATAACATGGAAGCACAGCGATGCGCACTTATGCAGTTTAGATTTAAATGCGATAAACTGCGATAGCCATCGGAGTGGCGCTTGTGAAAGGATTCACTCGAATGTGCAAGAATATTTGAGATGCATAAAAGAGAGGAAATATATATGCATATGTATATACAAAACTATTTGAATTATTTTATTTTTTGCATTTTGATGTCTTTATTAAATGTTTACTATATATTAGGAATCACAAAAAATATTATTTTCAATTGATAGTGGAGGATGAAGCCATGTGTAGAAGTTCACGAAAGAAACGATTCTTTTACATATGGCTCAAGCAGCTCACGACGTCCGGTCTTTGACCATGTACCCTCTGGGTAGGAAGGCCAAACAGGCGCTAGGTTTGAGACCCGCCACAATGAAAAGAAGAACACAACCTCTGATGAGAGACCCTGCTTTTGATGACGACCCCTGAAAATGTGTTAAGGATTACGACTTAAGGGTATGCACCTGGAATGTCCGGTGCCTTTATTAGAAAGGTGCCACTGCCCAGCTGGTTGATGTCCTCTGTAGAGGGAAGGCTGACATCACCGCCGTTCAAGAAATGCGATGGGCGGGGCAAGGACTGAGGCGACCTTAAGGCCAGGGTAGGTAAGGAAGGTATCTTTGGCACAACAGTCGGTAAATTTAGCTTTCACGAGAAAACAACCTCGAAATGGGTTGAGGCAGATCGACTTCGCCAGGCCCCGCAATATGGTTATCTGTAATACCAGATTAAAGCATAGAAAAATTCATCTAGCTACCTGGCTGTCTCCGGATCAAAAAACCACCAAACAGATCGATCATGTTGTGATAGTCGGAATTCACGTCTCCAGTGTTTTAGAGGTGTGTACGCTCCGAGGTCCTAACATCAACTCGAACTGCCTCTGTGCTGCAAAAAAACGCAAGTCAACAAACACAAGGAAGGTTCTCAACACTCATGATTATTTTGATGTGACTTTTGGTACAAATGTTATTGAAAAAAGAAAATAAATATTTCGAAAAATGTGTTTTCGAGCGAAATATAAATTAAAAAGTCTTACTATTCTTTGGGTCTTACTATTTTCTGGAGGGTTTTCTGTTCAAAATTTGCAACACGTTAAATTAGGAAGTTTAAGGAAGCCTTGGAACGACTGCGCTTCAAGTTCCTATTCCCACATGTATCGAATCGGGATAACCTTTACGCTATCGAATAAACTACTTATCTGTACTTGTTGCATTGAATCCCTAAAGCCCTCTTTGCGTACGTCCCTGATCTTTCCTTCATTTTAGCATACAAAATGTACCTCTGGAACATTTCTCTCATATCTAATTGCTCATGGGGAGGTTAACAACTCCCAGGTGATATATCTTTCATTCATTTTACGCGGACAATTATCAGAACACTTCAACCTACCTGTTATAAAGCTTGTTAGCAATAAAAAGCCGTAGACATGAAACACAAAATGCATGTATGACCGCTACAGATTACTTTGCGCCATTTCATGTCGGATATAAATCAAATTCTAAGAGTCTCGTTACGCTCGTAAATTCAAGCAAAAAAGTAGAATGTAATATGAAGTGCGCGGAATTTACCACCATAAAGATTACTATGTAACACGGAAAGCCTGTAATTATTGGTGAAAAATAATTTCAGCAGCGGTAGTCTCGGTGGAGTTTGCAAGGCGCATCGCTGCGAACGCAATGGATACCGGATCGGTAATGGCGGCTGGCTGCCAGATGTTGCGGTAATCGTATGCTTACAGGTTGTTTTTGTTGTTGTTTTAAAAATGTTGATTTGTTTCTGCGCTCATGCGTTGCCGTAATTCTAGACATTACACGGTGTGACACACGCGCTGCCGCAACGGCATTTCATAACACGTTTCGTTGCAGGCGTCCGGCCGAAAGTATTGGGTAATACGTACATACATGGGTGAATATGATTATGTATGCACGGTCGTATTTAAATCTTTAGAACAAGCGAAAATGTTGTTGCTTATGAAGAGATATTTTTCGCAGATTCTTATCGTAATAAGATGCACATCAGCACCAGCGGCAGCTAAAATAGTTAAGCCTCAGCTACATCGGTAGTTGCAGCTGCGTATCTATTGCGTTGTTGCATGCATGCGCGCTTGTTGCAACATATGCTGCATGACACTTACTCGCGTGCAAGTGGCATGTTGCTGCGCTAGCCATCGCTCCGCCATAAGTTGCTGCCCAATGGGATTTGACGGCTGACCGCCGGTTAGTTAGTAAAATAATGGGCGCTCCGATGTGGCGACATGACTTGGTCGCTTCAGTTTTCATAACAACTCATCGCTGACATTGCTCGTTCAACACATTAACAAGGTACTCGCAACTTGACAATCTTTTGGGAATTCAACTGACTTGCGAGTTGTGTGCTGATATTACATCTTGACGTTTTATGAGTGTTGACCTCAAAAGTAATGACGATACCCGTTAGTGTCGTTGGTCGTCGGTTTAGTTGGGTCATACTTTTTCAACAAAAAAAAAAAAGACAAATATATATATATATATAACAACGACTGGATGAGTTTGTGGTGAAACAAGTAATGAATTAATTGTATTAAGTGTAATCGAAAATGGTTTTCCCGAACTGCATTTACGTACATTGTGGAGAGATTATCAGTTATTATGAGGTCAGTTTGATGATTTAGTAACTTTTAATTTCCACTTAGCATCAACAATAATAAATATCGGAATTGCAAAAAACAAATTTGACGCGATGTCACATTAAGTAAAGGAATACTTAAGGAAGGACCTTGATCTCAAAACGTCGAGTTCGGCTATCATTAAAACTTTTAATTCTCTTCATAGTCAGAATTTCCATCCGTGAAACGCTGCAGAATCGCAACAAAATCGATCCGAAAACGGTCATGGTTTAATCGCTGTAAGCCAGTGCAAACGCTAGCCAAGCCAGCATTGACAGTCAAGAAAGTTTTGCTACGTGTTTTTACATGATCTGCTTCCCATGGCCAGATTAATTAATTAACTGGGACTAGTTCTCTCAACAATTGCGCTGCGTAGAAAGTAATCGTCGGGAAGCGGATACTTCTGCCAAACAGGAAAAGAATTGTGACCATCAGGACAGCACCCGTCTATACAAATTGATAGTGGCTAGCCAGAAGCTTTGGGAGCTTGGTTGGGAGGTTACTATGTATTAACCTTATACTCCGGACCTCGAACGAAGTTATTACTACCTGTTCTTGTCCATTGTTGTATACCCAAATCGGTTAATTGTAACTTTCCTAATTGAAATCATTGATTTAAATAAAAAATACCAGACCTTACACTTTTGGAAATTGTAGTTTCCAGCTCCATTCTGAATACTAAAAATATTAAATTCAAATAACGCAGCCAATATAGGAAAAACACATTTAGCTTAGTTGGGTTTTACGAAAATGGTATCGAAGAGGTCGTAGAAAGCTTTCTTTTGTCTTCTTTTTCTTCTTTATTGGCGGAGCCGCCGCCTACGTGTTTATAGCCGAGTTTATAAGATCACGCCAGTCGTTTTCCTTTTCGTTTGGCGCCAAGTAGAGATTTCAAGTATAGCCACTTCTTTCTTCACCTGGTCTTTACAACGGAAGGTCTTCCTCTTCCTCTGTTTCCCCCAGCGGGTACTACGTCGAATACTTTTAGAGCCTGAGTGTTTTCATCCGAAGACGAAATTATCTACATCTTCGGAGTTATGACTGTCAACTGTGGCGTGTGCCTTGTTGCGAGTGTGACGACTGTTTGTTTGATGACAGAAGATATTGCGCATTGATCTCGCTCACTACCAGACCCATTTGCTTTGCTTCCGTATCTAGTTTGGAGAAAGCAGAAGTAACGGCGGAGATGTTGAGGTCAATGACATAAAAAGCAGCTGGTATAAAGGCAGCTCCTTTTCGTGCTGTCAGAAGCAGCTTTAAAATGGGGAAGGGTGGTGTGTGTTGATCTCCTTTTCGTAAATCTTTTCCAAGATTTGACGCATTGTGAATATCAGGTCAATTCATCGGCCCTCGCCGCTTTTTTGTTCTTCAGACTGGTAATTTATATTCAAACTTCTTGATGCTCGGGCAATGGAACGTCCGCTCTATCGGTTTCGATTGGGGAAATGAGTTCACCGTCTCCTGGTGTTATGCTTTCCTTTTGTCCAAATACCAATTGTTTTAATGCATAAATTGAAGACTAGCTTTAAAGCATACACGTCCTAAAAACATTATAACTTCATTATGGCCGCTATTAAGCCTAAAGCGTCACTATTAACGGTAAATTTTTAGGCTTCTCCAATCTGATATAAAAATGTACAGAGATTAATATGATCTTTTTTACACACTTCTCCACCATTTACTGCGTATTCGGAAATTTCGATAGACAATTCTCATTTGTGAAAGCAAGCCAAGCGAAAACCAATTAAAATACTGCCTCCTCCAGAGTAATTACCGAAATATCATAAACCCACGACCACTTTACTGACTTGCAGGCGCTGAAATGGCTGACGGAGTTATGAATATTGTGTTTACTTTTACCAAATACTGCATATAACGGTATGTATGTATTACCTGTTGATGCCCACCTCCAGGCGAAAGGAAAAAATGACAAAATTACCTTTGCAACAATTCTTAAATACGCCATGGAACACTGACTGGCGCAGCATGCCACAGCGAAAGCCTTAAATGCTGGGCAACTCGTTATATACAAACATATTTCCATAACTACACACATACATACGCAGCACTTACATACGCATGGCTATGCATATTTCAAGCTACTTGTCAAACGATCGATTCTAATTTATGATTTCCTTGGGCGTTAGAAACTGGTCTGCCGCAGCGATTTGTGGCATTGTGACAGCGGACAGTTGAATATGCAACAAAGTTGAAAGCCGCGAACAATAAAAATTACAACACGAATGACATGGCGAGCAAAGCAGCACATATATCCAAAGCTGTGCTTAGGACGATCGGGGATATACAGCGATTGCTAGGGCGCTGGGCCCACCTAAAGCTTGCAATGTCACGAATACAAAATTACAGCTATATATGGATATATATGTAAATCATATTTTAGGTTAGCTTTCGTCTTCCAAAGGCACTCTTGTCTGCGGACATTTGCAAATTTTGCCAC